GGGGACGAGATGGGCTCTGCACCACCCGCTCATCCCCGCGCTGCATCCCCGTCCCCCAGACCAGCAAGTCCTCATCCTCTCCCTTCTGCTTCAGCCCCAGCCAAGGAGCTACGTACCTGCAAACACGCAGCAGGACATGGTCCCTGCTTCTGCTAGACAGGCAAGTCACACCACAAAAAAGGGAAGAGTTAGAAACCAAACAAAAGATTCGAAGCCCTGCCAGGAAGGTGACACCACAGGAGCTCCTGGGTGACAAGAGGGTTTGTTTCCTGCAACCTGGCAGGGAATATTTAGAGGGTGTTTACTCCTGGGGAACCCCAAGAAGAGTTGGATGTGGCTGTAATAATCGCTCATGGTACTCACCACAGCTTCCCAAAAAAGCAGGGCTGACACAACAGCAGCTTCCGGACACGCTGAAGCAAGTTGTGTATTTCTTCCCCAAATCAGACCTCTCTGTTCAAATCCAGCAGACCCTGGAGCTCCTGGCTGGCCGTGAGGAAAGACGCCGCTGGTCGCTGGCACTGGGTATCGTGCCTGGGCACGAGGAGGAGTCACTGCATTTGAGGCATCTCTGAGGATGTCAGACCTGATCCTGCCCTCGGTCCCCCGGCTTGTGCTGCCTTCAGGGCCATGCCACGCTGGGCAAGCCGAGGCTGCACCTTTGCATACACTTTGCAGCTGCACGAGCGGCACTTGCAGGTACCAAACCTCTTCTATGCATGTCCCTACGTACCCCAAAATAGCTCCTAGGCCATAAATCCTATGGGCAGGTGGGGGTTATAAAGGGGGACTAACAGTCTGATGCAGCGTGGGCAGCTGCAGGGCTGTGCACGGCCCTCAGACGCGCCTTGTGCCAAACCTGGACGTGCCAGACACGGCATGATGCTGAGAAAAAGCTGCCATCTGATGGCGCTGGGACAATCCTGCTGGCCTGCCAGCCACGAGGACCTGGCTGGGGACATGTGGGTGGCCCTGCACCGTGGCGCTGGCTCCGTTCAGCCGGGGCTACCCCGGCACAGCCCAGCATTGCTGCTTTCGCCCTGGGACACACCCCCCCCCCAGCTCGGGGATTCACCCAAGCCCGGG